TTACACTATTGGATATTTCTAGAAAGACGTGGCGTGATACTAGTCACGTGACCTCGCTGACGCAACAATATCTTAGAAATTGATTATTGTTGAGGCATCAATAAGCCTACAACTGTCTGACTGTGGATGTTGTGCCAGCATTAGACTGTAACTATGGGCATCCTGCTATTATGTTGTACCAGTGATAGGCTGTAACTATGGGCATCTGCTATTATGCTTTCAACTGTGATGATCTAACATCAAAGACAATATATTTGTATACAAATTAGGTAGTTTATAAAACTCTATCTAATTAATATCTAGCTATTTTATACGTAACTACGATAAATTGTACCCATTGTTTATATATGTGGGAATAGTTCTGGGGAATCAATAAATATATATAAAAGGTGTCCGTAAGAATATGTCACTGCTGGGGGTCAGTGTGGAGATAAAACATCATATAAGCTTTAGGGTAATAAGTTTCACAGATTCTTATGCACCTTTCAACCTTTTTTAAAATTCTACCTCAAGAGTTAACACCTTTCACCTATTGTAATAATCAGTTGAGGACTTCACGAACTGTTTCGGTTTTCCATAATTATCTATTGTACGAATCAGTTGAGGACTTCCTGAACTGTTTTCGTTTTGAACGTTTTAATTTATTAAAATGATCTAATGTAAGAATCAGTCGAGTACTTCGTGAACTGTTTCAGTTTTAAACGTTTTAGTTTTCTATAATTATCTGTGTACAAATCAACTGAGAACTTCACGAACTGTTTTAGTTTTAAGTTTTGGTTTTATATAATTAAAACCAATGTATAAAATTTGAACAACTTACTGAAGTTAATAATAAAGAAGCCCTCAGCTCTTATTTTATTGGTATTTCGTTATGCTAGCGCTATCTAGTTGTTGTAAACAAAGAAATTGAGTTCAGATGTCTACAAGTATTTCCATCAGTGCTGTTGATTCTCTTGAAACAAAATGAAAAAAGTAAACAATAGAATGCATCTTGCACAGTAACGTTCTCATCTGAAGAATTGTAATCAACTGCAAAAGTTTTTATTTAGAGATTATTGCTAAACTAGTTAGCAAGTTTAAAAGTTTGAATATAAACTAATGTATACTCGTAGTTTAATTAGCTTCTATTAACCTGTATTGTTTGGTCAAATATTTCCGAAACTCAAACACAGTGGTTTTTGAAGCTTCTCTTGGAGTAACAGACAATTTTCTCGTAATTTTTTTATTGTCTTATTAATTCAGTAGCCTTGAAACACTAAAGCCTGCGAATCTTCATTTATTTAGATTTCTTTCCAAAGATCAAATTGAATATAATACTATTAATTCGTTTTTTTAACACGTTTGAAATATGCGTTTTTACAAATAAACATCAAGTATTAAGTCAAGGTGAAGCAATATGAAGAAGTGTATCATCTTGGCCAAACACAAGGTGTGCATTCTTCTCCATCTCTGATGTAGAATGTCATACAACCAACACATTTTCCATGAATAGATTGTACTCTCATAGTCTGCGGTAATATGGTTTGAAAAACTACTTTTGAACGTCCTCGACCACTGTCTCCCGGTACTTCAACAGGAGGTTTGTGTTTACGAGAACCCGATATACGGTCGAGAGGGGGATTTGTTCCCCTGACTTCAGGTTTAGATGAAAACGAAGTTATGTCGTCATTAGGCTTAGCAGAAAATGAAGAACGTATTGTAGGAAGCCTGGTTTCAAATTTGATTTTTCCTTCTGCAAATAATTTATCGTTCACTTTGTAATTATTTTCAGCCAAAGAGCAGTTCACCTGTAAAAATAAAGAAGAAAAGACGTCAGTTCACGCGGTAGTATACACTAGAATCTTGAAAGTATGATTTACATAAACGTTTTGTTAGTTCATGGGTCAAACCATACTTCAAAGTTTTATTACCGTGATAATCTTGCTCAAGTGCTGTGAAATGTACATGTAGGAAAACCAGAACAAAAAAAGAGGATTATTTTAGTGAATAGGTTTATCATGTGACTGAGATAGCCTTATAAAATGACGACAAGACGTTTCACAAACACAAATGCACATTTTACGCGATTAAGCAGAACATTAAATAACAGCAGTGACAGGAGTTAAACGAGGCTTACAACGAATAAAATTGAATTGAAACAAAAGACAACTGAAGCTTGAAGACAGAATTTAAACTGAAATAAGAATACACAGACATGGTCGACTCTACAGACAACAAAGCAGGGAACCATTTGCATGCCAGTCTCAACTCTTTCTAGTTTCAAGTTAATCTTTTTGAAAAACATAAGTCGTCTCACAAGAAGAGTAGCACCTGATTGCTTAACTAACAATCGCCATGACCGAAATGGTTACAGAAGCTTTTCCACCTAATTGAATGTCGGCCAACTAGCCTCAAACGGCGAGTTAATTGTAATTACGGTGATATCAGTGTTGAAACAATCAATGAGATGGTAGATGCAACCTAGACTGGCATCCACCAGATATATAGGCCAAGTTCTGCATGCGATTTCTGAGAGATTTCCTGGTTCTTACACACACAGCAAATAAATTTCTTGTCTACACTTTGTAGTCAAGTGTGAATTTACCGTATAAACAATTTTGACACTATTATACACATGATATCAAGTGCGCTCAATACGTTATTCATTAACGTTAGTTCAAGTGTCAGACTACACGTGTACTGTTAGTTATCAGAAAAGCAAGTGCATGTTTTTCAGACTATACTTGTTTTCTTAGCTACATAAATTTTAGATAACGGTATAAACTGTCTTTTTTTATTTTACTAATCATCAGATTGTACATCAGTCTATACTTGTGAATACCTGATGTCGATTCTGCTTGCTGTAGTCTCTACAAGTCGCATCAACATTGATAGAAAAAAACAGTGTTACTTTATTACAATAATATTGGTGATTCTGTTGTAGTTATCATCGATATGTTAGTAGTCAACAGATACCTTAATAGAACAATGTTGGTGATTCTGTTGTAGGCTGTAAGAGTCATATTATCATCAGTAGGTTAATAGTCAACATTTATCCTAGAAGAACAATACTGGTGATTCTGCTGTGGTCTGTCAGAGTCATATCACCATCAGGAGGTTAGTAGTCAACAGTTATCTTTGAAGAACAGTGTTGGTGATTCTGCTGCGGTCTGTAAAATTCAGATCATCATCAGGAGGTTAGTAGTCAACAGTTATCTTTGAAGAACAGTGTTGGTGATTCTGCTGTGGTCTGTAAAATTCAGATCATCATCGATCGGCAGTCCTTGGACCAATCTAAAATTTTTATTTTACTTACATTATACCAGTGGTCACAGATGAGTTGAGCCTGGTTAAACAAGGTGTGATTAGGACAAAGGTAACTGTACTTCCTCCTCTTCGTATGACACATATGGTAAACTTGGCAGCCTGACGAAGGATGGGGATCAGCATAATAACCAGGAAGTTTCGCCAAACACGTAAAGTTTGTTACAGGAATAGTATTTAGCTTGGGATATTCTCGGTGCTAAATGAAAAGTAATACAAATAGAGGGAAATTAAATCTACAGTAAAAACAATGAATAACACATGAACACTAATAAAATTTAATAGTTATATCTAGAACAAGATACAATTGTTTGTTTAGTGTCAAGCACAAAACTACACAATCTACTTGTGGTATGCCCACCACAGGTATCGAAACCTGATTTTTAGCCTTTTGTCTTACTGCTGACCCACTGGGGGGGGGGGGTCAATTTATAGTAGAAATATAAATTGTTCTATAAATGTAAAAAATACTATTAATAGTTTATTTTAGATTCCATCTGTTCTAGTTTTCACTTAGAATATTGAATGAGTATGGTTTGTTTCGGGTTTTCACACAAAGCTACAGAAGATGCGCTATATTTTTCTGATTTTAATATTACAGACTAGAGGGAAGGTAGCTATTCAACAGCACCCATCGCCTAACGTTGGACTACTGTAATCGAGTAGTGTGATTGGACCATCATTTTTATAAAACAACCATGGCCCCAGAGTGGGAAGCGCGATTTTTATTTTTTCCGGAAACGGGAAGCGAGATATAAATATTCGGTTAAAAATTAACTAACTACGGTACCATACCAAACTCGAAAATAACAGTCTTCCTAAATACGGCACAAATGTGTACTGGACCATAAAATTATAATAAAGTTAATTATAAAGTATTTGTGACTAGATATCTCATCAAGATTATTATTTGTTTGGTGTTTTTGTGACTTAATATTTTTATGATTATAAATAATATAAAACAGATCTACTAGTTGATATTGTTTGTGTAAAATATATATTATCGATAAAAATAAAAACTAATTAACTGATTGATATAAAAAAAAATTAAAACGATAGACGATAGATTATGTTTTTATAAACTTTTCCTGATGTCATATCAGAGGTAATATTTTTATAAACTTCACCTGATTGGTTGATAACATTTATTATTAAAAATGTTTTACAGTAATATAGTTTTAATAAAAACATAACCTCTGTTATTACATCAGGAATTATTGTTGACTGTGTACGTGTTCATAAAACTTACTATTAGACATGCTTGAATCAATATTTTTAACTGAGTTATTCTATTTCTTGTAAAATAAGAAATCGAATAACTCAGTTAAAAATATTGATGCAAGCATGTCTAATAGTAAGTTTTATGAACACGTACACAGTCAACAATAATTCAGATATTATTGTGTAAAATAATACATTGTTGAGGCGAGAGTAAAAAGATAGCAACCGTTATGCTTTGTTTAT